ATTAATATTTTTATTATTGCTTACTGTTGTACAATAACTACAGAAAAACGCGCAATTTGATAGGTCTATAGCCGTGCAGGATCAGGCTATCCTGCACGAGGAATTAAAATGCCTTCGCAGAATTTTCGCGGGATTCTAAAAATGTCATTGTTTCACTGTAGTTATTTTTTAAAATAATTACCAAATGGTTTTCCAAGCCGGATAGCGTGATCCATGCCGCGATTGGTATGTTGCTGGGAAGTGTCGCGACATCCCTCGTGCGTGGATTACGCAATCCTGCACAGAAAATCGTTCGGTGTTCTTTTATTAATATATTTATATTATATTTCATTTTGTTTGTAACCATGTGGCGTCATTTACTCAATTACATATATAATAAGATGTCAGTAATTGTGTGTATCTTTGCTATTTTTTATCAAAATATTTCGAAAGATGCGGCGCGTTTGTTAATTTAACCTGCATCATTAAGCATACTGTTTTTTAAAAATAATCCATCAAAAATAGCAAAGATACACACAATTACTGATATCTCATTATATATATAAGTGAGTAAATGACGTCACATGGTTACAAAGAAAATGAAATATCTCAAGAACTAAGCATGGGAACAAAAATCTTCAAAACAAGTTACTGTATTATACAATTTTAAAAGCAGTTTCGTTGAAGAAAATAAAAATTTTGATCATAGTGCCCATTTAAACATCCGTTAACATATATACATTTTTTGCCTTTTCAGCTCCGCGAATCATAATCTACGACAATGCATGCAATCTGCACAGCTACTGCCTAAACAGGAACCCTGTGTTTTTTAAAGATACGATTTTCTTGGTTGATCGATTTCACTGGAAAAACCATAAAGGTTGTATGCGGCAACGACTATATATAGTGAAATTTTTATACTATTCCATTTTTTTACTATAGGGACCGTTCAAGACGTTCATTATTTATAACCTAGGGTGGGGTGGGAGATTCTTATATATATATATATATATATATATATATATATATATATATATATATATATATATATATATATATATATATATATATATATATATATATATAAATTAAGGTACAACAATCAACAAAATCCACTAGGCATCTTTATTACTAAATAGTTTCGTACCACAAAATGTGGCACTCTTCAGATAAATTGAGTACCACAAAGAGTGCCACATTTTGTGGTACGAAACTATTTAGTAATAAAGATGCCTAGTGGATTTTGTTGATTGTTGTACCTTAATTTAAATATGCTCTGGTTTTGCATTGAGCACTTTACCAAAAGTTTTTATAACCAACGAAACCAAATCTTATATATATATATATATATATATATATATATATATATATATATATATATATATATATATATATATATATATATATATATATATATTAAGATGAAAATGGTCTAGAGTGTGTATTATATAATTTCCATACCCAGCGCAAGCAGGAAGATGTTGTCTGCCGCGGCTGGGTCTTGAACCCGCGACCTTCGAATTACTATATTACTATTATATAATACACACTCTAGACCATTTTCATCTTAACATATTACAGAGTGTACAATTACACAATTAATATATATATATATATATATAAAAGACAAACTTGAGTTACTTCATTTAAAACATTTATTCACGACAAATTTGTTTCGTATGGCAAACTAAGCTTGCCACACTCATCAGGTGAATGATGATATCGCGTATTTACATGATGTTATAACCTATAGGTAACTTGAGCTATTATATAAAAATGTTTGACGTCATTTGGAACGCATAAGCCTATGTCTGTAACCTGAGCTATTGGCTGCAGAGCAGGAATTTTTTCCTGTGCCTACATGCGGATATCAGTTCGTTTCTTGTGTTCAAAGAGCTTAATTTGGGAAAGAAAATTATAACAAACTTTTCATGCAGGCATAATTTACAACGTTTTGCTTTGTTTGAGTAGGCCTTACATTTCTTTAAAATTTTTATGCTTTCCAAATGACGTCAAACATTTTTATATAATAGCTCAAGTTACCTATAGGTTATAACATCATGTAAATACGCGATATCATCATTCACCTGATGAGTGTGGCAAGCTTAGTTTGCCATACGAAACAAATTTGTCGTGAATAAATGTTTTAAATGAAGTAACTCAAGTTTGTCTTTCATTTGCTCTACCTTCGTATCGAGCACTCTATTCGTATGATTCGACACTCAATATACTTATTGACATTCGCCTATATATATATATATATATATATATATATATATATATATATATATATATATATATATATATATATATATATATATATATATATATATATATATATAAATATATATATATATATTAATCGTAAAAATTTTTTTAAATAAAATTATAAAATTTTAAGATTAAGATAATAATAATATATTTTGCTCTATCAAATAAATTTGTTATTGAGCACTCTTTTTGCACTACGGACAACGATTTATTATTGTCTATATATTATATATATACAACGATTTATTATTGTATACATATATATATACCAATTCGTATACCAATTCAATAATAACACATATATTGATAGATATAGAGCGTAAGATAGTCTTTCGTTTTGAGGTAAAACGAATTAATTACAGATTATAATTATACTATATACGCACAGGGGGCAGAAAAGTACGATTGTGTTTATTTAAAATACCTTGTCATCAACCAATATATCGCATAGTTTCATCCAGGTTTCATCACGATGAAAATTATGTTGATTTTCGATAATATCATGTCTACTACTTCATGTAATTCAAACATTGTATTACAAGGACTGACCATAGTAGCGTGGGCTCATACTAGAACGATTGACTTTGCTTACACGTACAAATAATAGAAAGTGAAACCCCCGATCGCGAAATATTTCGAATGGATATAACTGGCGTGTTTCTGAACCAAAACCTTATATTTTTTGTATACAGTTTAGATATGATACACTTAGCATACCTGTACAAGGAAATTTTTAGAAACGGTTATTATACCGAAATTTTTGGGACTACAATTTTGGCTTATTTTGTTTCAACGTGCACCGCAACAGGTGGTGACGGAAGTGACGTAGTTACGCACTTAAAAGATATTGCGCATGACGAAAACTATTTTTTCAACTGATTTATATTATTAATCATATATATTAAATATATGACAAGGTCATACAGTATTTTTATGATTAGTATACAGTTTCAAAATAACGCTCATATAAATATGCTCATATAAATTGAATTGAATTGAATTCTCCTTGAATTGAATTGTCACTTATTGAAAGAATTGTCACTTATTTGATAATTCATACAAAGCCTACGAAATACAAGCCAAAATGCACCGGTATTTATACTACAAAAAGGTCTATATTAACCGAATTAACGAAACCGTTTCAGAGTTTATTTAAATTTACTGCCCCATAAGTGCATGTATAGTTTATTTTTGAATTTAAATAGTCTATTGATATATCTTAAGTCTGCACACACGGCGAAGACGAGTTTAAATCGTGACCGGGTTTTGTAAAGACTGCCGTTTGGATTTATACAGTGCTTTAATGCTTTAATGAAATACTCCTAAAACAGTATTATACTACACTAGGAGGAGTTTATATACTGAAAAACTAGATATTTATTTACAAGAAATTAGTCTTCATAATCACTGTATGACACATATATTAGGCAGTGATTATAGAATGATGTTGTTATTACCTCGGGTCGGTACGACACCGAGGTCATAAATTCGGCTCCTATTTTTTTTTTAATTTTTTTTTTATTGTTTTTCATTTGTGTCGAGCCGCGCACGTAGTCGAAGGAGCCTGAGGAGGAGATGACAACTTCCGGTAAATAAGTGTACTTCCGGATTATTTCAAGCATCGGCCAAAGCGAAACGGAACCCGAAGCTGTCCTTGCACAAAATCCGTCAAAAATTTTTATTTAAAACCAGAAGATGTGATAATGTTGACATAGATGTTTAGCTGGATAACTATTCTCGAGTATATGTTGATATAATGCACAATACTTCGTATGCATAGCATGGGAATACCGCGGCCAACTTTCACTTGTTATCTATTATAATTACTGACCCGAATCAAAAGTAATTATTTTCGGCTGGAAGACTACTGTACTTTGCTGCTTGTCGGGACCGTATGACAATGAACCTATCCAACGTTACACTAGACATTTGTGAGGACATGCATATAGACATAACTATAGGCACTGTAGTGCATTGTGATAGAACAGATTTCAGTTTAATTAATCGCCCTAAATTAAAATCTCCACAAGCGGAGGTCAATTATAGTGTTCTAGTTTACATATTATCATTAATGATAAGGTTTACTCAAATAGCGTATTGGATAAACACGGGAATAGAACTGATGGTGTATTCTGCACATGCGTATATCTAGGATAAAATCCCACAAGCGCAAACGAAACTATTTCTCTATAAAATTGAACTGAAAAGACTCACAGCGACCGTTTCCAACAGTGCTTCAGGCACCCGACGACACCGTATGGGGGACCTTTAGCACTGTCACCTTCTCATCTTGGGATGTTCACGTTATCGCGTGTACATGTAAGGGTGACGAAGATGCATTATTGCTAATAATGTCTGTGTGCACTGATGCACGCTGCATTATTTTTAATAATGTTGTGTGCTATTTTAACGCGTACATAGAATATGACGCGTATAAACATTTACTCCTGAGCCGGAATTTCCCTATACAACCAAAAAGGCCGCTCCTGTTTTTCAGTAGAACGTTAAATGAAAACTTCTCGACATTCGCTGATATAATGCAGAGAGAAAACAATAGGTTTGATGAGGGCCAGTAATTATTATCAATAAAATATTAAAACGGAGCTTTGATTAACTGATTCACCATTTATACTAGTGAACTGTTAAACTATCGTGATTTACACAATTTTTGGATATTTACCAGACGAACCCCTATCCACCGACCCGAGGTTAACGCCGAGTCGGCGTCTTGTATGTTATTAACAACAACAATGGCAAAAGCGACAAACGACAATAACAACAACGACAACAACTCTAAGACTACAAAACGAACATATAGTACAATACAAACGATTCAAAACGATACTAATTAGCTACATTAAGTGACTTAATTGAAGGCATGGCAAGTGTTTTGAAACTTGGGGTTGATAACAGACATATCAAAAGTTCAAAGTCGTGGATATATTCACGTACGGTTGATCGATTCAAGAACAATTGTTTTAAAATTATTGAAAAGCTTTATACCATCTAGATACAAGAGCGTGTGTTGCTTTTGAATCGATTGATTCGCATTTCTTTTAGTTGACAAAACGTTCCATATTAATATTTGACTAATTTGAGTTTGAATTTCGCAATATTTTTTAAAATTTGTTATTGTCATTCAAATTATTAACCGTTAATTCGATTAAAAGGTCATGGAAGATGATAGGTCAATTTTCCTTCAAGTTCCGTTCTACTTCCGGTTACAATGTCGAATTTACTTCCGTCACCAGCTGTTGCGGTGCACATTGAACGAAAGATTTTCGGCGTTTCATCCCTTTCTTATTTATGTACGGGTTACACCCTCGGCATCCTTTCGTAAGATGTTCGGAAATAGTCGTTGCAATGCAATATGTTTGAATTACATGAAGTAGAAGGCATGATATTATCGAAAAAATAAAAATCAGCTAATTTTGATCCTTTTATGACTATGTCTGCGGATTGTTGTGATATAAATATGGGATATTCGTTGATGACAAGGTATTTATAGAACACAATCGTACTTTTCTGCCCCCTGTGTATACGTGCGTAAAATAGCGTGTGCATGTTTTAAATATTTTGTTTCGTATTTTATAGGATGTTCTGGAGGCTACAACCTCAACCTTTATCCTCAATTAGAAAGTTTTGTTTCTACCACGTTTACGAGAATCATCCTCCTCCCCCCCCTCCCCCGCCAACCCCGCACAAATAGTATTAGGCCAAATGAAAAAAAATACTTGGTTAGCGTCAACGCCCGCATTTTTTTTGTTATGTAAATCTCTTCGCTTTACAGTTTAAAACAGTTTAATATTTGAATTTATTCTCATTTTTTCGCGCTATATACTGATCGATAGTAGCGCATGGGCTTGGGTATTATCAGCACAAAAATATCACCGATATGGCGGAAAAATTGCCCCCATCTCCCCCAAAAATACTGTTAAAAAACGAGTAAAAATTTTAAAAAACGCCCTCCCGCCTCTGAACATTTGTGAGAGTGTGACGCTAACCAAGTATTTTTTTTATTTGGCCTTAGATGCGGCAGGTTATTTCAATCATTCCATCTTCTAGGTGATATGGTTCACATATTAGGCCTTTTTATTTTTCTCTAGTTTTTATAGATACAAGGCCTGGAGTCCATAATCAAACAAAAACGTTATAGAGATATTTGTGCATTAACAACTGAAGTGTGCGACGGCGTGAATATTCGTATCGTGCAGGGGCCGCGGAAAGTGAAAAGTGCCGTTTTTCTGGGCTAAAGTGGCCATATAAAGAACGAAAAAAGAATTTCTTGACTGAATGCCCTCTTTTGCTGGAAAGAAAGTGCCCTTTTCGCAGTATTAAAGACTCTGTAAAGGCCATATCCGAAGTTATAGAGACTCCATATTTTCAAAAATTTTCGTTCGGCTCATGAACGACATAAAATCGATTAATTTTGGTTATACAGCTTTTTTATATTAAATTAGCTTTTTTATAAATTAGCTTCTTTATAAATTTGGTTATACAGCTATTTTGTTAATTATACAGCTAGAAAATTAATAATTGTTTTAGTCATTCCCGGCAGCCTTTCACGCTTGTATTCCACTTTTATGCAGTAATGTAGGAAGATGTTCTGTGATTGGTTGATTATGACAATGACAAACAAAGCAAGAACAATATTCCTTTTGTTTATGTAAGCCAATTACGTCTTTTGTCATTGTCATAATCAACCAGTCACAGAATATATATCTTCCTAGAGCTTCGTCACCTTGATCACCTCACCCACATTTTTAGCATTTTAACAGTTGTAATTTTAAACAGTGAATCTGTTTCTTAGTCACAATTAGTATAAAAATTTGATTGGCAATTAATTAAAATTGCAAACATGCAAAAAATATGGGTGCGAACATACACTTTATTAGTAACAGAATAATTACTTTCCAAGTTTTTGATCAGATTTATTTACACACCAAAATGTTACAATGTGGCTTACAGACAATATCATTGTTCAAAGGGTCATTCCAGAAAACATCTATGCCACCCCCACGGAGGAAATAGGAAGTTAATCCCCCTACCCCCTTCGGATGTCCTAATACATTTACTATTATCAGAAACAATTTTTTCTCCCCTCCCCCTCCGGACGGCAGAAATTTCCTCCGTGGGGGGAGTATGGATCTTTTCTGGAACGACCCAAACGAATTTGAAACTAATCCACCAGTCCTTTCCACACATGCCCAGGGGCGTAAAACACATCTAAAAGTTAGGGGGCCCAGGCTTTGAGGGGCACTTTTCGAATGAAAAAGGGCACCTAAATTTTTTTTCTGGGGGTGGGGGTGGGGAGGAACAACTCAAATAATTTTCATATTGTTTTATATGATCAGGTTATCAATTTCACATGCCCTGCAAATAGTTCCTAACAGAAGCTGGCACCCAGATATTTTCTATAGCATAAACAGTAGTAGGAACAATGATTTGTTCTTACTAAATTATAAACAAAATATTACTTCCTTACCACTGACATGTCTGGGGAAAGGTTTTTGTCATCAGCTTTGGCATGCTTCACCCCCCCTCCCCGCCCCATGAAATAACGTCTTGGCTACGCCGCTGATTGTATCAGACAAATAACATTTACATATTGGGATCCAGTGTCAGACATGTATTGTCCATTTTCTATAAAGTATTTGTCCAGAATTTGTCCTACAATTTTAATTTAGTAGTTTGTGAATTGTGAGTGAAGTCACAAGCAGAACTCCAACAGCCCAACAATCAACATCAAATTTTTTGAATAAGTTAATACACTGGTAAATTTCAAGTGATAGAAACGAATAAAAATGTTGTAATTTTGTTTATAGTTATAGACTTAACGTCTATTCAGTAGCGTTTCTATAATATATTCTCCAGACGCTAGTAACTCCAGACAAAGGGCTTTCCCTCGAAACGTCGGTAGTTGCGGCCCTACGAAAGAAAGCTTGTTAATGGCACAGACAGTTCATTATAATTTATAATATATTCGCATTCGGTCATTCGCTATTTAGTAAATTTGCCACACTCCTTATTAACGTAATATAAATACAGACATATAAAAGGTAAATAAAATAAAAATTTATGCAGCGTATTGCTATTTCTAATTTTACTTACCTCGCTACTTTGTGTTTGCACATCGTCGACGACAATATTCATATCCTCATCCATATTCATGGTTTCGTCGCGTGTAGCCATTTTGGATTTTGGTGTACATTCGGTACCATGCGGTGATTCCATTTTTAAAATCAAAATTTCTCATTTTTGTCATCAAAATTTCTCTAAATTCCTTAGATTGTATATGTTATTTCCTTGAAAATTCCTTGAAATTTCATGAAGCAGTTTGCAGTGATTTTGTACCAATACAAAGGATTTAATTACTTTTCAAGGCACAAAATAGCACAATTAACAAAGATATGGGCTAGCTAAAAACCACAGGCTATTACAGTATACTGTTTAAAAATAAATATTTGTTATGAATTTACCAGAGATACCTTTACATTGATATGATTAATTAAGGGACAAGTCATTATTAATGCCGGGTAGGGGGCTGGAGGAAATTTTTATGAATAGCAAAAATTTTTCATGACCCCTTATTTTTCTAACAAACTATTTTATCCCCCCCCCCCTTATTGAGGCAACATATTTCATAGCCCCCCCCTCCCCCAAATTCTGAATTCAATGACTCTAAGTCAGTTTCATAACCATTTTTCCTGCCCTCATACTCTGTTTACTTGCAGTTGTAAAGAATATTGTCAATATTGAAAATGATAGCCACGGTGGACAGGAGTGACTTTAGTTTCACAATAGACACAATAGATAATTCAGATTTCACTTTATACCTGAAAAGTTGTTGGCCCTCAAACAAAAAACCTACACATCAGGCCTACTTTTACTAATTGAAAAAAAATACATTTGTGTATGGTGGAAGCATTATATTGAAGAGATGGCAGAAGAGACTGCCAACAACATGCAGAAACAGAACATGCCAAAGAGGTCCACTGTGTTAAAAAGCGTAAAACAGGACAACAACTGTCAATTGAATCTTGCATTTGCAAATGCAGTGCATGACCTTCAGACAAATTCTACGGTAATGAGGATGACAATTTCCATATACAGTAGCTAGAACACAACTTTTAGGTTCAATATGTTGGGCATTACTGTTCCATGTATGTATGTATACTGTATATATCCATTAGGGACCGGTCATAAAGTATCTTCAACCCCGGGGTGGAGGGTAGCCCCGGATTTTTTAAAAAAATGTAACAGATACTAAACACTGCACATTTCAATTTGCTAAACTTTATTGAATAGTTGCAATGGTTTGAAACATGTCTCATTTTGAGATAAACTCTCCTATAGTAAAACATTTGCAAAAATGTAATTATGTTAATATGTTATGCTCCAGGCTAGGCATATTTGGCATGATAGAATCTGTTAAATGTCAATTTTACTACCCTACAAGTATTTTTTGTTCTCACATGTCACAGACGGTCTGCGATTGTTGATGGTGCTCTCAAAGGCTATGGTCGTTTGATCAATGATGGGGAATGATTTTCAGTGAAAGATTTACAAGATACAAAGGATTTTATTCATCAATGATCAACGACAATTAATGACACTGGTGAAGCATTGCCGGACCATTGGCTACATATTATGTCATAGGTCTCTTGGAAAAGTAGCTTGCTGTGTTGCATCATGTATATCATTTGCCAAGGTTGGCAAGAAAAATATATGCGGGATGACAGCTGCTGCTCCCCCGACATCACAAAATAAAGCTAAAGGCTGACTGAAATCTTGGCCAATCAAAGAGCCTTATTTTGTGTCGTCAGGTGAGCAGTTGTCATCCCACACAGTTGGGAAAAATTTAATTTTAGTGAGTAAAAAATGTGAAGAATTTTCACAAAATTCACTCATTTTAATGTGGTGAAAGAAAAAAATACAATGCAGGAGTGTTAAAGTTATGTCTGATCATAATGAGTTATAAATTTGGATGTCTATCTACAAGTTTTTCGTCATTTAGTTTTTGTATAGTGTTGGATCAGTATTTTCTTGCCAACATTGGGGAATTAATATACAGTTTATAATGCAATGCATGCACTATGTAGCACGTACTTCATGTAATACGAATTATAGAGGTTTTAGTGTTATTAATCAGCAACAGAGAATATAAACATTGCATTAACCCATTAAGCGCCAGCGCTCTCCCCTTGACGAGTAAAATCGCCTGACAGTCTGCGATTGTTGATGGTGCTCTCAAAGGCTATGGTTGTTTGATCATTGATGGGGAATGATTTTCAGTGAAAGATTTACAAGAGACAAAGGATTTTATTCATCAATGATCAACAACAATTAATGACACTGGTGAAGCATTGCCGGACCATTGGCTACATATTATGTCATAGGTCTCTTGGAAAAGTAGCTTGCTGTGTTGCATCATGTATATCATTTGCCAAGGTTGGCAAGAAAAATATATGCGGGATGACAGCTGCTGCTCCCCCGACATCACAAAATAAAGCTAAAGGCTGACTGAAATCTTGGCCAATCAAAGAGCCTTATTTTGTGTCGTCAGGTGAGCAGTTGTCATCCCACACAGTTGGGAAAAATTTAATTTTAGTGAGTAAAAAATGTGAAGAATTTTCACAAAATTCACTCATTTTAATGTGGTGAAAGAAAAAAATACAATGCAGGAGTGTTAAAGTTATGTCTGATCATAATGAGTTATAAATTTGGATGTCTATCTACAAGTTTTTCGTCATTTAGTTTTTGTATAGTGTTGGATCAGTATTTTCTTGCCAACATTGGGGAATTAATATACAGTTTATAATGCAATGCATGCACTATGTAGCACGTACTTCATGTAATACGAATTATAGAGGTTTTAGTGTTATTAATCAGCAACAGAGAATATAAACATTGCATTAACCCATTAAGCGCCAGCGCTCTCCCCTTGACGAGTAAAATCGCCTGACAGTCTGCGATTGTTGATGGTGCTCTCAAAGGCTATGGTTGTTTGATCATTGATGGGGAATGATTTTCAGTGAAAGATTTACAAGAGACAAAGGATTTTATTCATCAATGATCAAC